CACACGCACACACACACGCACACACACACGCACACACACGCGCACACACACGCGCACACACACACGCACACACACACGCACACACACACACGCACACACACACGCACACACACACACGCACCCACACACGCACGCACACACGCACGCGCACACGCACGCACACACGCACGCACACACGCACGCACACACACACACACACACACACACACACTTAAGTAAAGATCTACCCCATAAACTCGACATGGCAACTCTATACACACACTTTAGAAATTATCTACCCCATAAACTCAACAAGGCAACTCTATACACACACACACACACACACTTTAGTAATAATCTACCCCCTAAACTCAACAAGGCAACCCTATGCACACTTTAGTAATTGTCTACCCAGAAACTCAACCCACCAGCCAACACCGAGCCTCAACCCGCAACCTCAACCAATCCCGACAAAATATTACATAACTTATGTAATATCTTATCCCAGTGAATAGGGGCGAGCCCTCTTGCAGAGTTTATACATCGTGCTTGGCAGATTTCCACGATGCGAGATACACCTGGATGTACGCTTTGCTTCTCTATCTGATAGGCCTGTACCAGCTGCTATTTTCTAGTGAGCGGTCCTGATTTGTATCAAGCTTTCGACCTCGTTGATGGCTTCTTGCGGAGAAGGTCGCCAACAGCAGCCCTGCGAAACCATCATAGGCATCCGGCGAAACCATCATTAATTAGGGCTTACGGGTTCAGCATCTATACCAAGCTCAGGAAAAGTGCAACTGGGCAGCTGTTGTGTATCCGGGATGAGATACCTCGCTGCAAAAAAGCTGCTGCTGATTCTGCCTTCTTCAACTCGGCTTTTGCTGTAAGTGATACTGATACATATTGATAGTTTGGGGAGTCTCGTGAAGCCGGAAGACACATGAGGGCGTAGGGTTTAGGGTTCAGATGTGCCATCACCTGGCCCAGGTCCCGAAATGGTACAGCCGTTCGTGCTGGTCCCCATGCGGAGACTCCCAGCAACGCATGGGAGCCCCTGAAGATGCTATGCCGTTCATGGAGAAAGAAATTCACAAGGCTTCGGTTGCTTCGGAGCTGAAGGGCTGGGTAGAGGCTTCAGGGCTTACTGTTCAGGGTTCTGGGTTTAGGGTTCAGGGTTTAGGGTTCAGGGTTCAGGGTTCAGGACTTGGGGTTTAGGGTTTAGGTCACCGGGGACCGATGTTTGCGTCCTAGCCTTTGGCTGTAGATTCCCATTCTCTCAGCCTGCATCCTTCAGGCTTCCACGTCCGTATGGGCAACGTCTTGTGGGGCAACGTACTCCCTGCATCATCCCCAGTGGGTTATGTACTGTAGCTCCTTACGAGATTGGAGCAGTAGGCCTTGAGACTCTGGGTGCTGCAAAGGACACGATGTGATTGGTCCAGCGCTGTGCCGTTGTTTGCCCTTGCTGCGTTGCTGTAGCTGCTGTTGTGCTGCTGCTGTTCTTGAGACCGTGATTGTCGTCGTTGCCTTGCTTGATGCGTCTGACTGTAGCCTTTGAGTTTGTTGTTGTTCTGCTTGGTGTTGCTAACCTACCCTAAACCCTAAGCCCTCAGCCCTCAACCCTACTTACACACACTTCCCATGTGGCCAAGACGCTGCCAAGGAAAGGGGCATTGCGCGTCCTTCCCCACGGCTCCTCCGGCATAACCATACAGGCAGTTCTCTTTATTAGGATCCGTTTTTGGGGTTCCTTAAAGTGATCTATAAGGGGTCCTTTAGGGTTTCTATAACCTTCTATACAGGCATTATAAGGGTTCTGTATGGGTAGATCTAAATTAGGGTATCGCCGTTTAGGGTCCTTTATTTCAGGGTGCCGTACTATCTTGGGGACCTGAAGCGGGACCCTAATTTAGAGAACCACCCATATCCAAGCCCGAACCGAATAAACTCCGAAAGCCCCAAACCTCCAAGCCCTGAGCTCTAAACCCGAAACCAAACCCTGCATCCGACACCTCCGACGTTGGAGACTCCCTCTAGCTCTGAGCTTGTGCCCTTAATGCCTACCACTTTTGAGCTTCTGAATCCTAAACCCTAAAACTTGACCCTAGGCCCTAAGCCCTAAAACCTTTACCCCAAACCCTAAACCCTTAACCCTGACACCTTGAGTCAGCCAATCCGACGTGAGGCCTGCCTGCCAAAGGTGCCTCAATAATTGGAACAGGGCATGAGGGGTATATTGCGGTGTATTGTGGTATGTTCAGAGTGCAGAACCCTGCAAGGTTATGTAGGGTAGTGTCCGTGCACATTTTTTGGTGTCCTGACTGGGTGGGCTTCTGCTTGGCCGCGGATCTTCAGTTGCCTTCTGACACGTAGGCCCTGGACACCATCAAACCCGAGACGCGCTCCAAAACGTAGCAAGCGTGACACCCTAATCCCAACCCCAAGGCTGGCAGATCCTCATGCCGCTGAACAGCCGGAAGAACACAAAGCAGCTTGTGATTTCGGCACGGCTGCTGAGCATTTATGTTGGCAGCCAAGTCCCAGTCGGTGGGACCGCCGAGGGTTTTTGTGAGTTTCAGGAATTTTGATCTTGTTGTTTGATCTGGAAGGTCCGAGGCCGGTAGTGTGAGGTGGTTTTTTAGCAGTTGTATTACCATAAAGCTTAGCCTTGTTTCGAACATACTTGTCAATAGGGCTGTTGTCACATTCCCACTGCTAGCAGTGCGAGCCATTTTGTCCATTGTTGTTGCTAGTCTCTTTGCACGGGCTTATTGCTCATATAGTACCTCGATGCTGTACTGCACAAGCTCTGTCTGGACAGTAGTACGGATTTGCGGTTCCACAGGTTTAGTATCCGACATTACATACCTACGCACTTACATACATACATACATACATACATACTTACATACATATTTACATACATACATACATACATACATACATACATACACGCATACATACATTCA